GTGCTCTGTGAACACAAATTAGTTAGCATAAATCAGTTAAATGACTAAAAATTAGATGTCTATTTACTTGTGACCACGCTGTGTACAAACTAATAAATAAAGGAATGTGTGATAGGAGAAAGCTAAAATACATGATTAACAAAACGTCCTTCATTTTAAGTTTGTTTGTTTCAGGGCAAAGCCACAGAAGGATATCTGCTGTGTCTACCACGGGTAATCGAATCCCAGATTATAGCGTTGTAAGTCCGTGTACATACCACTGTCCAACCAGAGAACCATTTACTTTACGATTACCTAGTAGTACTGATGCAAATTAACTTAATTACTTAACATTTCAGAACAATACACTTATAAAGCTCTCACAAAAACACACTAAAGATGGTTTGGTCATTCCAGCGTATATATCTCTTAACGACATTTCTGCGAGAAATATTTTAAACTTCACAAAGAAACAACGTCAGACAGATAAGAAATTCAAATACCACTTGAATACAAACTGAAAAATGAGAACTGTAGCATGTAAAGTCTTGGCTTTAACGGTCTGCTCCTATAGAGTGGAACAACATTTCGGCTAATATACTAAGTCCTTCTTCGGTACTGAAGCCGAAATGTCGTTCTTGAATCATTCAAGAAATAGGCATGGTCGCAGGAGCAGCTCATTAAAGCCAATTTCTACATGTTTACACTGTCTAAAATACTTCTGAAACAACGGTAATGTTTATCCCAATGCAAGAGTTAACAGAAAAGGTAGACTTCACTTAGCAGTGGATACACACCAGATTTTAATTCTATTTGAAAGTCGAACAGGCACAATTAACTTAAAATCGGTTTATATATGTTGGAGTACTAGCCAATTACGTCCTACATCAATAACTGCTATTAACATTTGTCTCTAATTTTGAGAAAGGTTGTTGGCTTCAATGAAGTGCTTCCTGGTGATTCAACTGCAAGTCCAAAAGCTTAAAGTGCTAAAAATCGGGTTTTGGTACTAGTGGTGGGCAGAACACATATAGCCCATTGTGTAACTTCGTGCTTAACAATAAACAAATAAACAAAAATCCAATGATGAAAATTATCGAAATCAAACAACGAGTGATAATAAAACCTTGCTTTTGAATTTAGTATTTCAGACACAATATAAACATTTTAGAATACTTGTCATCAGGTGTAAATAAATATTATTTAACATTTATCAAAATA